TAAGCCTCAAGTTGCAATACTGAAAGATTCTATGGGCAAAATATTGAATGATGCAGGAACCATCAAAAGAAGATGGAAGGAAAACACAATACCAAAAAGAACTGGTCAATGTTCATCCCTTTCAGGAGGTGGCTTATGATCAAGAACCAATGGTATTGAAGGAAGAAGTCAAAGCTGCACTGAAGGAATTGGCAAAGAACAAGGCTCCAGGAATTGATGGAATACCTATTTAGATGTTTCAACAAACTGATGCCGCACTGGAGGCACTCACTTGGTTATGCCAAGAGATTTGGAAGACAGCTACTTAGCCAACTGACTGAAAGAGATCCGTATTTGTACCCATTCCAAAGAAAGGTGGTCCCAGAGAACATGAAATTATTGAATAGTATCATTAATATTGCACCAAAGTAAAATCTTACTGAAGATAATTCAAAAACGGGTGCAGCAGTATATCAACAGAGAACTTCCAGAGATGCAGGCTGGATTCAGAAGAGGACATGGAACAAGGGATATCATTGCTGATATCAGATAGATCTTGACTCAAAACAAAGAATACCAGAAAGATATTTACTTGTGTTTTATTGACTATGCAAAAGCATTTGATTGTGTGGCTCATAACAAGCTGTAGGTAACATTGAGCAGAATGGGAATTCCAGAACACTTAATTGTACTCATGAGGAACCTGTACATAGACCAGGAGGCTGTCATTCAAAAAGAACAAGGGGACACTGCATGGTTTAAAATCAAGAAGGGAGTGCGTCAGGGTTGTAACCTTTCCCCATACTTTATTCAGTCTATATTCTGAGTGCTAAAAGGGCAAGGAGGCCACATGTTCTGACCTCCTCTAATCCCACAAGAGGAAGACAGAATTACCATCAATAGCCCAAGGCCTATTCCTTTGAGGCCGGACATACTGCCTCCCTCCAGTCCTTTCTCCAACCATTCCTCCCAAAGCACCCACCACCTCACTCCTGGGTTCGCTAATTCGCTGCAGTGGCCACACAGAACTCACGGACTACGGGGTTTATTAGGGAAGCACCAGGCTACAACTCAAGTTCAGGAAGAACGCTCAGTCTCTCTCCCAGCCCACCATCCCTCAGCCAACAGTCTCTCACAGTCTCTCTCCCAGCAGTGTGTGTCCCTCGGTGTCTCACTCAGCAATGCGAATCTCTTGTCTCATTCCCAGCAGCACGTGTCTCTTTCAGGAGCGCGTGTCTCTTGCAGCAGCACATCTTCCTCAACCAGCAGCCAGAGAGAGTTCTGCCTCCAGGAGGCCTCCTTTTGAGCTTGGCAGAATGGCCAAACCAACCAATCATAACAACAGAATTCTAAGCACCTAAGAGTGAGCCTCCCATAACACTGCGTTGTGCCATGCCCAACAGAAATAACCCGGGTGGATAACATTTACAATCAGGAGCTCCTCAGTTGCTCATTGCACCACTGAGTTTATAATGACTTATGGGTAGAAAAGCCATACTAAGTAATTTACTACACTGCACTGAGCAAATAATCTGAGAAGCTGGACTACATAAAGAAGAACGTGGCATCAAGATTGGAGAAAGAATCATTAACAACCTGTGATATGCTGATGACACAACTTTTCTTGCTGAAAGTGAGGATGACTTGAAGCATTTACTGATGAAGACTGAAGACTACAGTCTGCAGTATGGATTACATCTCAACATAAAGAAAACAAAAATCCTCACAACTGGACCTATAAGCAGCATCACGATAAATGGAGAAAAGATTGAAGCTATCAAAGACTTCACATTGCTTGGTTCTATCATCGATGCCAAAGGAAGCAGCCGTCAGGACATCAGACAATGTATAGCATGGGGCAAGTTGGCTCCAAAGGACCTCTTTCAAATGCTGAGGAGCAAAGATGTCTCTATGAGGACCCACAACTACATGAGCCATTTCCTTCATGGTTCATGAGTTCTTTGAGGCACTGCGGCAAATTACAGAACCCAAAGACAAGAGGGAGAGTACTGAGGGGAGGAAGAACAGTTGATGTCAGAGAAGATGGAGTAGTTAAACAGTTTGGAAAAGTTGGACATTTGGGACAACTTTAACCTCTGCCTCACAGGAACCAGCTTTGTGCTGATCCCTTTAAAATAAATCATTTGTTCAGTGAGTAAACTTACTGACCCACCTGGCAACAATGTTGATCTATGGAAATTTGAAGGTCACTACAACATACAATATTTACACTGTAAAAAAAAAAAAAAAAAAAAAACACAACAAAACTGCTGTTTCACTGATCCTTGCCTAAAATGCTGCTACCAACAATACCATACCCTGGCAAATTCAGTCTTCATGGGCCAGGTCTGGCCTAGGCCAGAAGCAGCAGCTGGGTTGGGAAGAGGTCATAAGGCAAAAACACTGAGTTAAGATCCTTCTACATTTTATCAAGTTATAATAGGGCCAGAACCAAGTCTCCTGTCTCCCATGAACCTTTAATGCAAAAAACAAAAAAGGACAGAGAATAATAAAATTATTTGTTACTATTTACTGAATGCTTACTATGAGTCAGCCATTGTGCTGAGTGCCTTAGATGGTTATTTCACTTACTCTTCAAAGCAACCCAGATGTTATTACCTCCATTTTAAGAATAAACTTGATAAGTGTTCTCAAGTTTATTTTCAACTCATAGTGGACCATGTGACAGAGCAGAACTGCCCCATAGGGCAGGTAGGCTGTAAAAAAATTTTTTTGGGGGGGGCTTTAATCTTTACAGGAGCAAATAACCAGGTTTCTCCTGGAGAGCTGCCAACTTTTTGGCTGGCAGCCAAGTGCTTAACCACTGTACCACCAGGGCTCCTTTAACGATAAAGATTTTAAAAAACAGAAATCAATCAAAAGGCACCCAAATCATAAATTTTGTTCCATGCCCTTTCTTCTTGACTCACTTTTCTTGATATACTCTTTATGGAAAAAAAAAAAAAAAAAGTAATTATTTCCAACGTGCGATCTACATTTTACTGGCCTGATATTTTAAAAAACGAAACAAAACTCCTTATTATATATCACTCTAATGTGTATGTGACAATGTGTATACGCACGGACACACACACGTAATATTTGTAAGTCTTTTTTTTGGTCCCTCTTTGGTCAACTCTGGGATACCTCACAAAGCAGGATTAGTCCCTTTATTTAGTTTTTAATTTTTTATTTTTGCATTGTTCCCTCCTCTCCCCTTAGTCCCTTCATTTTAGAGATGAAGATCCCGAGGCCCAGAAAGCTTAGGTGAGTCCTTCTCCCATTCCTTTCAAAGGCCACTCCAAAAGTCCTCAGGTCCTCCACCAGATCCAAGCCTCTTACACTGAATTAACAACCCTGCTGTCTACAGAGAAAACAGAAGCTATCAGACATGAATTTCCTCTACTTCTCTCGGCTCTCCCCAAACTTACCTTCATTCATATTCTTTCTTTCCCAACGAGCCAGAGGAAAAGCCTTCATTCTTCTAACCCAAAGACAAATTTAAGCCCAGGAGCCCATTCCTCCCCCAGTTATCTTCTCACTTTTCTGTTCCTTCAACCTCTCCCTCTCCACCGGCTGATTTCCCTTAAATCCATGTACAGCATTTGGTTTTATCTGGAAACAAAATGTAAAACCCTTTCTTTATTCCACATTCTTCTTTAGCTACAACTGTTTTCCTTCTGAGCTAAACTCTTTGAAAGCATAATGTACATCAGATGTCATTAACTCATCTATTCACTGAAACATGTATTCTGCTCTCATTGCTCCACAGAAATTGCTCTCCATGAGGTTATTAATGAACTCTCAAATACCAAATCTAAAAGACACCCTCAACGATCAAACTTTCATTCTCACCAAAACGTTTCCTTGAGCTCCAGTATCCAAATCCAAATCAGCTGGACTCCAAAACTCATGCTTTCAATCATTAATCACTGTAAATTCAATCATTAATCACTGTAAGTTACCCATACCTGAAGTCATCCTGATTTTCTTCTCTACTGACTGGGCCCACAGCCAATCAGTCCTGAAACCCAATTAATAAATCTCCTAAATATCTCTTGAATCAGTTCCTACTGGTGCTGATTTCCAGGCACCTAAGTTAGAAACTTGTTTATCTTTAACCTCGACTTGGATTTCTCCCTTAAACACACACATATACACTCCAATGACAGCTACGGGTTTAGCCCACATCACGTAGAATAATCACCTCTTCCACGACTTCCCTTTCCACACATACATTCAACACTTTAGAAGCACAGAATTTTCAAAGCTGAGGCGAGTGTCCTTTTACAGAGGAGAAACAGAGCCGAACCTATTATTCATTATCAGCCTAGCACAGGGCCAGGAACACATGGGCATCGATATACTTGACTACGGTAAAGCACCTACTAGCTAAGCTACAACTTCTCTAAAGGACAGTTTCTTCACTTTGCGCTTGGCCTCACAGATTTAAATTTGAAAATTTGTTTTCAAATTTAAACGGGATTTCTTTTGTAAAGATGAGCGCGCTAAGTTAGTTACATCTGAGGAACATCCCTTTGTTTTCCTGCCCAACAGCGACCGGGATGCAGACCCTGCTTTGCCTATCAAAGATTCAACACAGACACTGCTGTCCAAGGAGGTCAGGTCGTCAGTACTCACTCACCTCTTAAAAGATTTTTCACCAGGTAACTATGAAGACCTAGGTAAATTTTCCTTTCAGGCTGAGAAATGACAACCTGTGTCCCCCTAACACAGTCTACGTGACCACAGTAAGAGGTAGCAGGTTGCCCTCTCGGGGAAATGTAGTCCCCAACAATCAATGACAATGCTATTAAAGTCGAATTTCAGCACAAACTCCACACGCCTCGATTCCCATTTCCGAGGCTCGCTCTTCACGGAAGTGACGCACGCTTCGCCGCGGAAGGGGGAGTCACGGCAGAGGGCGGCTTTTGCGTACGGAAATACGCGAGCTGGGAATGTACGAATGAAAAAGTAACTTGTAACCGTTACAGATCGCCGTTCCTGAGTCTCTCCTGGCCATGGGCCCGCGGAACCGCGAGCGTCGAGCCGGGGCGGTACAGAACACCAACGACAGCAGCGCCCTCAGTAAGAGTTCCCTGGCTGCACGCGGGTACGTGCACGACACTTTTGCTGCGTTATTAGTCCCGGGGGCCGCGCGCCGTGCGCCGCTCATCCACCGCGGTTACTACGTCCGCGCACGCACAGTGCGGCACTGCGTGCGCGCCTTCTTGGAACAGACGTGCGCGCTCCCCACATCGCCATGCGCGCAGATCTTGTCCTTAGGCGCGGGCTCGGACTCGCTGTATTTTCGCCTCAAATCTGCGGGTCGCCTGACTCGAGTTGCGGTTTGGGAGGTGGATTTTCCAGACGTAGCGCAGCGCAAAGGAGAGAGGATTCGCGATACGCCGGAATTGTGCGCGTTAACCGGGCCTTTCCAGAAAGGGGTGTACGCGTCCGCGTCAGTCTTTGAGAGTTTGGACTACCGCATCCTAGGCGTGGACCTTAGGCAGCTCCAGCGATTGGACGAGGTCCTTGCTGCCACAGGCCTTAACGCGGCCATACCCACTTTGCTCCTAGCAGAGGTCGTGCTAACCTACCTTGAGCCTGAGAGTGCCGCAGCCCTCATCGCCTGGGCAGCCCGGCGTTTTACTAATGCCCTTTTCGTGATCTACGAACAGATGAAGCCACATGATGCCTTTGGCCAATTCATGCAGCAACATTTTCGGCAGCTGAATTCTCCTCTTCATGGCCTGGAGAGCTTTCCCGACGTGGAGGCTCAGCGGCGCCGTTTCCTTCAAGCCGGCTGGACAGCTTGCAGTGCCATGGACATGAATGAATTCTATCGCAGCTTTGTCCCCGCAGAAGAACGCTGGAGGATAGAAAATCTTGAACCCTTCGATGAATTTGAGGAGTGGCATCTGAAGTGTGCCCACTATTTCATTCTGGTAGCTTCTAAGGGAGATAACCTCTCCCAAACCCTGGTATTGCCACCCACAGAAACGTTTACTTGGGTAAATCCTCCTTCCCCTTCAGGGGTCTTCCCTGTCAGTGTAGTCCTGAGTGATAGCCAGGGCCCTAGCCTTAAGAGATATGGCCATGCCTCTACCCTCTTGAGCCCTGGCATTATTCTCAGTGCTGGAGGTTTTGGAGAGCAGGAGGGGCAGCACTGCCGAGTGAGCAAGTTTCACTTGCTTTTAAAATATTGTGAGTTTGGGTGGAAAGGCAGCCAGATACGCAGTTGGGAGGCTGGAGCCAAGTGGGATGGACGCCTTTATCACACCATGACAAGACTTTCAAACACTCAGGTTCTGGTTCTAGGAGGGAGATTGTCCCCAGTGACTCCAGCCTTGGGAATTCTCCAACTTTGTTTTTGTAAGAGAGAGGATGATAGTACTCAGGATCTGAAAGTGACAGTAACAAAGGCTGGCCCAGAAGAAGATTCCACTTTGTCACGTTGGCGGCATTCAGCAACAGAAGTGTCCTATCAAAATCGGAAATACTTGTTTGTGTATGGAGGTCGAAGTGTGATGGAACCTGTACTAAATGACTGGCATTTCCTACATGTGGGAACAATGGCTTGGGTCAAGATCCCTGTAGTAGGGGATCCACCTAAAGCTAGGCATTCCCACAGTGCCTGCAGTTGGCAAGGAGGAGCCCTTTTGGCTGGAGGTCTGGGGGCTTCTGAGGAGCCATTGGGCTCTGTACTCTTTCTGAAACCAATCTCTTGTGGATTTATTTGGGAAACAGTGGAGTTCCAGCCTCCTATTACCCCAAGATATTCCCACACAGCTCATGTGCTCAATGGGAAGCTTCTATTAGTTGGCGGGGTCTGGATACATTCTTCCTCAATTCCTGGAGTGACTGTCATTGATTTGACCACAGGACTGAGCTCTGAGTATCAGATTGACACAACAAGTATTCCATGGCCATTAATGCTACACAACCATACCAGCATCCTTCTTCCTGAAGAGCAGCAGCTTCTGCTCCTTGGAGGTGGTGGGAACTGTTTTTCCTTTGGCACCTACTTCAACCCTTGTACATTGACATTAGATCTTTCTTCCTTGAGTACTGAGCAGTAAGCACTAAAGTAGATAATAAAGATTTCCACAAATAATATTTAACCATGCTGAAGATAAATTGGAGCTTTGCTGGCACAGTATAAAGCATTTGACTGCTAACCTAAAGATCAGTGGTTCAAACCCACAACTGCTCTGTGGGAGGAAGATGAGGCAGTTTACTTCTGTAAAGATCTATAGCCTTGGAAACCCAGTGGAGGTTGCTATTAGTTAGAATCAACTCAATGGCAGTGGGTTTTGTAGAAAAATCTACTGGTTTTTTTTTTTTTTTTTTTCCTTAGTATTAGTGCTTAAAGTGATAGTTTGTTGTTAAAACACATGCAAATAATCAGATTGTAAAATAAAAAGTCCTATATAAAGACAGTGGCCATACTTGCCTAGAGTAGGAACTGGTCATATAGTCCTACATTATTAGGCTTTGGATTCATGGACCCAGTTTATTGGTCCTCTTCCCATTTTCCAATTGACATTTATCCATTTATTACATTAAAATGGCCTTTAGCCTAAAATAAAATTTTCCTATCCTAGGCTTTGTGATTTGAGATGGTACCTTGAAAAAAGTTTCACACAGATCATTGAAAGATATAATATGGTTGTTGTTGTTATTGTTATGTGCCATCAAGTCAGACCTGACTCATAGCGACCCCTCCTTGGGTTTCTGAGGCAATATCACTACAGAAGTAGGTTGCCCCCTCTTCTTTCCAAGGAGTGGCTGGTGAGTTTGAACCGCCAGCCTTCTGGTTAGCAGTCAAATGCCTTAAGCACTACGCCACCAGAGCTCCCATATGGTTAAGAGATGAAAAGTTGAATATAGTTGAAGGGACATGGTATTGGTCTAAAACTATATATGAAACCTAAAATGAATGCAGTTGCAGTTTAATTAAAGCAAATGCTGTTCAGTGGAGAACTCCAGGTTAGCTTTAACAAGAAACATTTGTAGGGCTTTATTGAAAAACATGCTTTTGATACATCTCTTGCCACTTGTTCCACATTTATTTAGATTTATAAGTGTCAATAAATCAAACATTTGATGCATTAACTCATTTTGTGCATGGTATAATATTTTGTTCTGGATTCTGTTCTCCATCTTTCTCCACCATTCTGTGCCTCCAGAGGCTGACCTTTATGGACTACAACAGTAAGCTCTCCTCTTAGTTTCTGGTTGAGTTCCATCAGTTGGAGACACCAAGAAAGATGGGAGGACAGGAAGAGGGAGTTGGTATTATTCTCAACTCTTCCCCTGCCAGTCTCATTTGGCAGGGACTGCAATTAGTGCCTAAGGCACTTGACTGCTAACCAGAAGGCTGGTGGTTCAAACCCATCAGCCACTCCTCAGAAGGAAGGTCGGGCAATCTACTTCCATAGTGATACTGCCTCGGAAACCCAAGGAGGGGTGGCTAAGAGTCGGGCCAACTCTACGGCACATGACAACAACAACAAGCAATTTATCAAAGGACATAGATCCTGTCATGTAGCTGCCTCTTACAAGCTGTAACTATAGCTCTAATCCTATACCTCTCTGGTCTCTAGTAACTTTTTTCTCTCCATGCTATTCAGGCCTGGAGTAATAATGACTCTGCTAGACTTGAACTGCGCTGTACAGTAGCCACATTAGCCATTAGGCACATGTGGCTATTTCAATTAACTACAATTAAATGAAATTAAGAATTCAGTGGCTTAGTCATAATAAGCACATTTCAAGTGCTCACATGTAACTGCCTTATTAGACAATATAGATGTAGAATATGTTTGTCATTGCAGAAAAATCTATTGGTTACCATTGAGGTATTTCATCATCTCAACCTGGTTTACCTTAACCCTGCCCACACCTTTTAACCTGGCACATACACAAAGTATCTTCATTAAGTTCTTCTCAGTTACCTTCTTTCAATGGACCATTTGTTTCCTGGTGGGTTATGGGATCCATGAAATAGCAGTTCATCCTTACAAATTTTGAACCTTACTTTGTGATCTAAATTGTACATACCTTGTGAAAGTCACATGTTTCAAAAGGTAGTGTCTTTGGTGGTACTAAGTGAACCACCTTAGTATTTCTTGTTAGTCTCCAATCTTTGAAACCTTGAAGAATTGTATCTTGAGATTCTACAAGTACTTAAATGATTGTTAACTATCAATATTAACATCTTGATGGACTTAGTATGGCAGAAAATCCTTTTTCTCTAAATATTAATAACTGTTTTCCTATAAATGAAGGAGCCATGGTGGCACAGTGGTTAAGCTCTCAGCTGCTAACTGAAAGGTCAGGAGTTTGAACCCACTAATCACAATGAGGGGAGCTCTGGTAGCATAGTGCCTAAGGCACTTGACTGCTAATCAGAAGGCTGGTGGCTCAAACCCACCAGCCACTCCTGGGAAGGAAGGTTGGGCAATCTACTTCTGTAGTGATACTGCCTCGGAAACCCAAGGAGGGGTTGCTATGAGTCGGGTCCGATTTGATGGCATGTAACAACAACAATCACTATGAGTGAGAAAAGACCTTGTGATCTTCTCCCGTAAATATTTACGGCCTACAAAACCCTATGGGGCAGTTCTGCTCTGTCTTATAAGGTGCCTATGAGTTGGAATTGACCCAACAGCACATAACACCATGAATAAATGAATGTGAATACAAAAACTGAATAGCAAACAAATCTAAGTATAAGGAGAAAGCATGTTGCTTCTTAGATGAAGGCTCCCAAGAGAAAATAAGCTGCATAAAGAGTTATGGTCTGATTTTTGTTTCCCTGAGACTCCACAAGAGCCTCTTCTGGGAAAGTCCTTGATGGTGGCTATGAATGAGTCCTGGGAAGCAAAAGGCTTACAGATCTGGGCTTACAGATCTGGTGAGACTATAAGTGGGTCAGGTACTAGAAAACTGGCGGGAATATTATCAGAGGGAATAGGCTGCTCTGAGTTTTCTGTTTTGAAGTTCTTCAGAGCCTACCTGTAGCTTTCAGAAGCAGATCAAAATAGAACACTATGATGAAATGAGTTTTCTCAACTCTGTAGTAGTTAGTACCAGAATTCGATTCTAGGTCTGGCTCCAAATCTCAGGGTACTTCTTCATTTATACTACCTTTTAGATAATGCCATCAACCATTATTATTCCATGGTTTTGGAGGGGAAAAAAAGATGGTGGTGTGGAGCTTGTCAAGAGAATGTGGATGTGCAGGGTGGCTATTCTTTTAAGCCCTGCCCAGTATGGCACATTGTGAGTAATTGAGCTTGTTCTTCCCAGAGAAATTATCCAGATTTTCTGTAAGTGATTACCAGATTAAGCATGCCCTCCACCTCTAATTCTATATATTCATCATGCTCAGTTAAGGAATTATTCATCTCTCAAACTCTGCTCATTAGAACACTTAGGAGTTTGTCAGCAACATTTACTGTGTGCTTTTGGAGCAGCACTCTGTGTGGACTAGTGCTGGATAATAGCTTTGCTACAGTAATCCTTAGCAGTTAGAGATGTGGGCCAGGTTGGGAACTGAAATTTGTCAATAATCTTTGCTTCTCTATAGCACCTCTGAATATTTTTGTTCTAAAATTCTAATATGGAGTTCTCAGGTAGCAATGAGAGTTAAGGAGTATGATTTTATGCTTGAATGCCCATTTTTCATCTTTCTGCAGATTTAATCTTCCTCAGTGATGTCAGGGAGTTGTCATGTATCATATGTGTCCCAGTGCCCACGCATTTCTTTGGTCTTTTCTTTCAGTGACCTCAGACCTTGAAGTCCTGGTTCATTCCATATGCATTTTATGATTCCAAACCCAACCTCAAGGAACCCATACCTACTCTGGGGTCTATCCCACATGACATCCACTGGAAAATAATCATATGGCAGCCCAAAATGTAACTGACAAGTCTGGAAATGCTGAACTAAGGGAAGTAGCCATGGTTAAGCTTTGTCTCTCATTCTAAGAGAGTAGTAGTGGTAGCCTATGCTCTTTGGAGAGATTGGTGAGTAAGAGAAGAATGGGTTACTAAGGTGGGTTCTTAAGCATAGGGACCAATACTGTCCAATAATGTCTGGTTTGACAAAACTGCAAAGAGCCTTTTGATTGCAATAAAGAAGGGGTCATGAAGTACCATTAAGCTGGCATGTTAGGCCATGAATCCTGGCTAACCAATTTGGACTTGATGTCTAAGGAAAAAAAGAGAATTTGTAGAGCAGAAATTATGAAATTTGTAACCAGCTCTAGAGTAGTCTGAGATTTTCTTGGATGTCAATAATTATTGGCAAACAAAGGAGTTCTGTAATTCCAAAGTTTAGTTATAAGAAGATTTATTTGTCTTCGATAATGACATAAAGGCACTTAGTTGGGAAGAGGCAGTTTTTTGACTGAGAAATGGAATTTTGTCTGATTCATCTCTCTATTTCTCCAATACGTTTAGTGCTCAATAAATACTTGTTGAATGGAGGGACGTTCTGGCACTCAAATACATTTTATTTGAACGTGGTGCCTACCAGGCACAAACGAATTTCACTTTTCTGGGGCGAGGGTGGGGAGATGTTAAAGTTTTGGAGACTCCTGTTTAGGAGTCTTTTATATTCAACTTCCTTGACCTGGGTAAAGGTGGTAGACTTTCTGGTGCCACTCCTAGCTTTATGGAGTAGTTCTGAATCTGCTCCTTGATTGCAATTTGCAGCTGATCTTCATCCCCTTTGCTCAACAATGGACCATGATTGCCCCATATCCTTTGGAGATGAAATGGGTTAACTTTGCCAAAAGGCTAATTTGAGGGAGTAGGAACATGCAATTAAATATGCTTATGAGCACATATACACAGGATCTTCCTAAGGTGTTGTGATGCTTCACTGGGCATGACTTGGTATATAACTCAACACAAATCTAACAGAGGGAGAGGAAAGACCTTGCCTTAATTTTTATGTGAAATGTCTTTTGCCACCTAATTGGCAGACTAAGGCTAGGATATAAATTGTAATAGGAATGATTTGTAGGCTATTAAATCACTTCTTGCTTTTCTCATGCCCTAGTCATTG